TTTTTTGGGGTTGCTGTTTGGTTTATTGTAGAGAAGACCAACGGGAAACCAGCCATATCAGGGATCCTCTATTTGGAACAGCAGGTGCAGAGCAGCACCATCGACCCACATGGTTTGCACCATTCACCGACCGCTTGAGATTTCAGCCATTCAGAGCCTTGTTTTTTTCTGATGTTGTAAACTGCGCAACTGCGTGCGCCAAGGTCCAAGGGCCAGACAAGTTTGGGGCAGTTCTTCTGAGCCGTTGGTCGCCTTCAGATTGGGCGCTCGCATTCGAATTGTTCTTTTTATTTTTATTCCCCCCTTTTTTCTTCTTTCTTTTTTTTTCTTCTTTTTTTTCTCTGAATTTTCGAACTTTTCAATCTTTTCGAACTTTTTCGAACTTGGATCGCGAGGTACGGTGCTCCCGCTGCTGCAGAACCTTACTGAAGCCTCGCTGGGAGCGCCCTTCTTCGGCGACCGCGTGAAGGAGTTTTCGGGGGGTTTTGGTCAGCGAGGAGAAAGCGAGGAGAAAGTTTTTTTTTGGTCAGCCGTTTTGTGTTTTGTTTTTCAGAAGCATTCGATTGACCGGAGCTTCTGCTTGGCTCTCTCTCACCCCTGACCACCTGTTCACTGGCTCGGGTTCAGGTAACTAATTTTTTGTGGCGAAAAACAAGTCTGGTTCAGTTTTGAGGGCCTTGCGCTGCTAAAGCATGCGGCGCTATTTTGAGGTTGGGGAGCAGAATAAAACGGGTCGCTTTGAATCTACTATGTGCTACCTTGAGTTCATTCATTGAAGGCCAGCTGACAGGGTCATCGGATGCTCAGCCCACTTCTTTTGGTGCACCAGGCGGCCAGGGCGTTCCCTTTGTGCTCACCGGAACACAGAGAGCAGCCACTTGAGGGCTAAAGTCACACAGTCAATGTTTCACGGGTGTGTCAAACATGTGGGCCCATTCCGTGTTTGCCTTCCCCCCCCAAGAAGAAAAACAAAAACAAACAAGAAGAGCAAACACAAAAGCGACCCAAAAACAATCCGGTTCTCATGTTGCGTGACCTGTCCAACCTGTCCAAGTGCCATGAATCTTACAGGAACTGAGGCCTTTTTACCTTTGTACAGCGCATGCGGAGGCCCCCCCCCCCCGGTTGGAGAGCCCCACATGGCGGGATCCGCAGCAGGTGACTCCGGCGCTGCTGGCCGCCTTGGCCGTGGCGCCGTTGAGCGTGTGGCGCGGCGCCCAGGGCGTAGTTTTCCATTTACCAAGGCCGGAGTTGGTTTGTCAATGCGGACTGGCTTGGCTCTTAGCTCTTGCCGAAGGCAGGAGCAGGAGCTAGCCTTTGCAACACCCAATGATGTCGCTGGCGACAATGACGACGCCATGATCATGATCATGATGAAGCTGATAATAAAGATGATGATGAAGATGATGATGAAGAAGATGATGATGAAGAAGAAGAAGAAGAAGACAAAGAAGTGAAGAAGTGGAAGAAGCATAATAAGAAGACGAAGAAGAGAAGAAGAAGAAGGAGAAGAAGAAGAAGAAGAAGAAGAGGAGGAGGAGGAGGAGGAGGAGGAGGAGGAGGAGGAGGAGGAGGAGGAGGAGGATGATGATGATGATGATGATGATGATGATGATGATGACGAGGACGAGGACGACGATGACGACGACGACGACGACGACGACGACGATGATGATGCTGATGATGATGATGATGATGATGATGATGACGATGTTCGTGGTGGTGGTGCTGGTGGTGGCGGTGGTGGCGGTGGTGGCGATGATGATGTTTGATCATCATTATCATTACCGCAGTGGCAACGGCAACGGCAACAGCAACAACAGCAGCAACAGCAGCAACAGCATCAGCAGCAGCAGCAACAACAGCATCAACAACACTAACACCAGCGACCAAAACAAATACCAAAATGAAATTCACGCAGCTACAAAGACAAGCCCAAACAAACAAAACAAGCACCGCGTTTTCCCGTTGTTCAGTGAGCCCAGGCTTTTGGCTCAGACGCCGGAGAGGCGTCGGCTTTCGATGCTGCGGGCAAGGCGTGCAAGCGCCCCGGCAGATTCGCGAGCGGCGGCAATATAAGTCTTGCGGTGGGTGGGTGGGTGGGCGTGGGTGGGTGCGGGTGGGTGTGGGTGGGTGTGGGTGGGTGTGGGCGGGTGTGGGTGGCGTGGGTGGGTGTGGGAGGGTGGGTGTGGTGGGGGTGGTGCGGGTGGGGTGGGTGGGTGTGGGTGGGTGTGGGTGGGTGTGGGTGGGTGGTGGGTGGGGTGGGTGGTGTGTGGGTGGGTGGGTGTGTCTGTGTGGGTGGTGGGCGTGGGTGGGTGGGTGTGGGTGGTGTGGGTGCGTGTGGGTGGGTGTGTGGGGTGGGTGGGTGTGGGTGGGGGTGGTGCGGGTGGGTGCGGGTGGGTGTGGGTGGGTGTGGGTGGGTGTGGGTGCGTGTGGGTGGGCGTGGGTGGGCGTGGGTGGGTGTGGGTGGGTGGGTGTGGGTGGGGGTGGTGCGGGTGGGTGTGGGTGAGTGTGGGTGGGTGTGGGTGGGTGTGGGTGGGTGTGGTTGGGCGTGGGTGGGTGTGTGGGTGGGTGTGGGTGTGTGTGTGTGTGTGGGTGTGGGTGGGCGTGGGTGGGTGGGTGTGGGTGGGTGTGGGTGAGTGCGGGTGGGTGTGGGTGGGTGTGGGTGGGTGGGTGTGGGTGGGTGTCGGTGGGTGTGGGTGGGTGGGGGTGGGTGCGGGTGGGTGTGGGTGGGTGTGGGTGGGTGTGGGTGGGTGTGGGTGGGTGTGGGCGGGTGTGGGTGGGTGTGGGTGGGTGCGGGTGGGTGTGGGTGGGTGTGGGTGGGTGTGGGTGGGTGTGGGTGGGTGCGGGTGGGTGTGGGTGGGTGGGTGTGGGTGGGCGTGAGTGGGTGTGGGTGGGTGTGGGTGGGTGTGGGTGGGTGTGGTTGGGGGTGGGTGGGTGTGGGTGGATGTGGGTGGGTGTGGGCGGGTGCGGGTGGGTGTGGGTGGGTGTGGTGTGGGTGGGTGTGGGTGGACCCCACCCCACCCCACCCACCCCACCCCACCCACCCCACCCCACCCACCCCACCCCCCGCCCATCCATCCCACCACACACCCCACCCCCCCACCCCGGGTGGGTGTGCGTGGGTGTGGGTGGGCGTGGGTGGGTGTGGGTGGGTGCGGGTGGGTGTGGGTGGGTGTGGGTGGGTGTGGGTGGGTGTGGGTGGGTGTGGGTGGGTGTGGGTGGATGTGGGTGGATGTTTGGCACCTTCGAATGATCCAGTAATCCAAGGTATCACATTAGAAGCAAAGGTGTGGCATGCTCCATTTTATTTTTAAAATTTGCACTTCAAAAGGGCGCGTGTCATCCAGCCGGTCCAGGCTCCTGTTGCGCATATTGTGTCCTACTGTTTCCAGCATGTTGTTGATTTTGCTAACTCATCCAGGTCCCAAAAAACCCAATCTGTTGTTGCACTCAGGTACCGGTGCTTCTTTGGATGAGGCATTGTGCAGGTCCAGCAAAGCGCAAGGCGCGGCTTGGAAGTACTGTCACACTCCTCCCATTGAGTTGGACAATGAAAAGCTGTGATGCTCGACGAGTGTTGCCCCACTTCTTCCTGGAATGGATGTACATATTCCATGCCGTTTGGAGCGGCGCTTTGATAGGACTGGACACCAAGCGCGGAACCATCTGAGAGACCCGGACCCGCATAGCTGCTGATTGGCTTCTGTGCGGAGAAATTGCGAAGCGCGTTTTTGCGCGGCGGTATTCACCATCCAGCAAGAACAGAAGGAGACCCGTAATCAAGGCCAGATCGATCCAAATTTGAATATGAACGTCTTTCCAAGTAAGATGTTGGATAAATCTTGAAATATGCTTTGATATGGAACACCTAGATAGGTAACTTTTATCTTAAAATAATAGAGCTGAATAATTGCACTTTTCTTGAGTGTGCATTGGTTTTTCAACTCTTTTTGAGCGGCAGGCCAATTAGAAGGAACACCCAGGCTTTCTTTCTTAAACATTCCATTTGACATGTAGTTAGCCTTCAACTAAAACCATCTTTGGCAAGTAATTTCTATTCAAGCATCAGCTTAAGACATAGCTTCTACTTGTTTTCGGTAATAAATTGGTATTTTGGTTCTAACTTGTTTTTCATCAAACTCCTTTGGACAGGAGTTCCCACTTTTCTAATGTGAGCTGGGCATTCTACTTGGGAATATCTCCATTTTGACATCCAGTCAATTTTTATTGGATCTCAATGAAACACAGATTTGGAAAGGAGCTCCCATTCAGGTTCTAATATAAGATAAATGGGTATCAATAGGACCGCAGGTTAAATCGTGCATGTTTCCATCCAGGGCAAGCCATTTTGGGGTTGCCCCGGTTTGACCCACACACACACACACATTTATCTTTATTTCATGTCATTAGAACGGAAACTCCATGGCGTTCAGCTCAAAAACGATGCTTTGGATGTTGGTACCGGTGCATCGGTGTTTTTTTGCCACGCACACGCACACTTCCCAAAAGAACATGGCTGTTTTACCAGCGTTCTGAACAGGCCCGTAAGCGAAAACACAAAACAAACATCAAAACCAGTTCCTGAGTTAAATCTCCACCCAGCTTTTATTCTAAGTGCAACTTTTTCGGCCAAATTTAAGGGCTGCCGCCCTGTCCCGCCGACCCCTAATCATAGCCTTTCACTTCTCCCGCCTGGGCCCGAATAACAAGATTGGCAGATGTGGAGAAGAAGACAAATAGTAAGAGTAAAGATAGAGATGTAACCAAACAACACAAGATGAGGGTCAAAGAGATAAATGATATGAGGGAGCACAGATATGAATGGAATTACATTCTCCCAACCTGTGCAAGCCTTTTAATCTTAACAAACAATAATAATTATAGAAACATAGATGTGAAATACTAAACATAGGAACATATAGGAACTAATTGAGATGTAAATGTGTTTAGAAGAGAATAACAAGACTAATAGAAGATAATACAACATCGGACATACTTATTTATATTTCTTTTGCCTTTTGCCTTTCCGATTGTCTGTATTTGATATTAAAGAAATGACTCGAGTACAGCATACCAGCTGGAAAGACATACAACGTCAGACGACATGTCTTTCTCTTTCTCTTGTCGCCTCCAAGCTGTCCTTCGCTTTGGATTGTTAACACTCCAAAAGAATCAACATAAAAGACATTGACGATCCAATGATGATGATGATGATGATGATGATGATGATGATGATGATGATGATGATGATGACGACGATGATGATGATGATGATGATGATGATGATGATGTCCGAGAGGACTATGACGACGACGATGATGATGATGACGATGATGTCCGAGAGGACAATGACGACGATGATGATGATGATGATGATGATGATGATGATGATGACGACGATGATGATGATGATCACCATGATGATCACCATGATGATCACCATGATGATGATGATGATGATGATGATGATGATGATGATGATGATGATGATGATGATGGATGATGATGATGATGATGATGATGATGATGATGATGATGATGATGATGATGATGATGATGATGATGATGATGATGATGATGATGATGATGATGAAGCTGATGAAGCTGATGAAGCTGATGATGCTGATGATGCTGATGATGCTGATGGTGATGATGCTGAAAATGCAGATGAAGATGATGATGATGATGATGATAATGATGATCACCAGGAGATGATGACGACGATGATGACGATGACGACGATGATGATGATGATGATGCTGATGATGATGGCGCATCGCTTTCGCATCCCCAGCATTGATGCGTTTGCAGGCATACAAGTGAAAAAACAAGGGGCTCAGCAAGGCGAGCAAAGCTGTGGGGGCTATTGCCGTGGAGTGTTGCCTCCCTGGTCCACATGACACCCCACCCTGAAACAATCGGACGACTGCGCCTGGCCTCGCAGGCAGATTCCGCCAGTGGTTGGTTGGGTGTCTAGGTCCTCCAGTAGTGCCCTTTTACCCTTTTTTGGGGGAGGGTTCCCCATACTAAAATAGGCTACAGCAAAAAGGGTACCCTTATTCTAACGTCTCTACTGGAGGACCTAGGTGTAGTTGAGATAAACACGGTAAAATATTTCCTTGCCAGCGCCTTTGCAGGCCGTCCGCAGTATTTGGTTCATAGCGTCTCAAGTTAGGCATTGGGCGTTGCGCAAGTGCAAGTGCCTGAGAACACCGGCCGTTCATCATTCATATTTATTCTGGAACGGGCCTGACGAGTTTTAGCGCATCCAAGGGTGACAAGTCCGTCCCGAGCGGCGTTTGCCACAGCATGGAGGCCGTGAGCGTGTCAGCTGGCTCTTTCAATCAATCCTCGGAAGTGCACGAGTAAGGCGAGGCTTGAGAAGATGGCTCAAGCTGCAGCTCAGAAAGCTGTGCAAATCAGGTGTCTGCTAGATGGCTGCGGGGTCCCTTTGTTAGGCTTCCCACTGCGAGGAAAGCATTCGGCAAACCGAACAGCAGGGTGTCTTGCAAGAACGCGGAAATCCCAACGGGATCAACGCCAGGCCTGAGAGAAATCCATGGTCTCGCGGCGTGGAACCCAAGGGATGGCATCACAATTTGCAAGGCGCGTTCCTGCAACTGATCTTCCACAAGAGCGCAGCTCTTTTTTTTTCTCGAGCGGCATGGCAGCGTCCCCGGCCCCCATGGGCTATTGAGAGACAGAACATCTTTTAATATAGTCCACCTAGAAAACCGAGTGCACGTTTTGGCGTGGCTTCCTCTCGTTCGCTTTTGTTAGCATCCTTGGATGGGTCCGCAGACGCATCCATTCGACCCATCCATTCAGTCGCACACGAGGCTGCTGGACTATGCGGAGGGCGGGCCCAATGATCCTCGAACCACGTTCAATGATTTGAGGAGTTGGCTCAGCGCCGTGAAGGAGGACAGAGGGGCCGTTCACTGGCAACGTGTCATTTGTGCTGAGCTTCTCTCCTTGGGACGAGGGGTAACACTCCACTCGGGATTGGAGGAAACAACAATTCGGTGGAGCGTGTTTTTTTTTTGGCCATAACACTTTCGGAGGTTGTGACGGTGCCTAAGAAAAAGGTGCCGGAGCTGCTTGAGGTCACGAGGTCGTTGCGGGTCTCCTCCGCCACAGGAGCTGTCGCCATGGGGCTGGCAGGCCTACGAAGCTGAGTTCCGAGAGAGGATGCAGGCGGGATGGCGGCATGGGAAGCCAATCTGATGGCTTGGCATCTGAGTTCTCTTTTGGCCGGCTGAGGGAAAAGATGGGCCAGCACATTGGGGATGTGAACAGCTGCATGTTCGCTGAGATATCTTTTGGCCTGTGACCTGAGCAGGGACCAGCTGACCAGGGGCACATTAGGGATGACCATCGCCACGGAAGAGTTTGAGGCTTCAGCGACGTGTTGTGACTTAATAACCCAACGGCATGTTCCCTGGTCCCTTTTGATATGCGGGCATGCGTCTGATAGGAAGCCGCGAGTGAACATACGCTGGAGGCTCTTTTTTGTTGCGTTATTGGGCACTTCAACACTTGGGACAGGCAAGGCGTGATAGATTGGGGTTCCTTACATCAGTCTCCTTTCTGGAAGGACAAGCCAAATGTACTTGCATGCCACTTAGTCATTGTCGGTTTTCCGGTAAACATGGTGCCATGTTTGGTTGGGAGGTCACAGTTAGTCCCTGGTTGAAGTGGCAGTTTGCCTAAACTTCTAGCATCCGCTATTTGTCTATTTCTCAAAGTTTCCCTTAAGGGGTGTGGTTTTTGGAATGTATTGAAGTGCCCTCAGGCCTCAGGCTGATCAGAATGCATCGGGAGAGAGGCATTCCCAAACCGGGGCCAACATTTGGGGTGTGTCTTTTTTTAAGGATCTGGACCCCTGACTAATGGGTGGTTTTCCTGTTGGTTTCCATTTAAACCCACCTCAAAAAGAAGACGCGGCCACTGAGCAGAGGCCGAGAAGAAGCTCTATGCCATGAATGCCTTGCCGAATAGCGGTGCACAGCCACAGGCCCATGTCGCTACGTTTGACCCGCGTCTGTCTGGTTGTGTTTCAGACCATCACGACTTGCGGCTTCGGAGCATTCCCCTGGACATGGCTGAATTCGGCTATGCTCCCCCACTCGCTCTCGAGAATGGCACAAGACTTGCCTCTGCCTGGCAGGATGGAGTCATCCAGGGCACTCCGTTGTGGCAAGAGAGGCTGGGCTGGCGCGGCTCCCTTGGAATCATAGCATGACCATGAACTACGACTTGGTGTGGATTGCTGCCTGATGCCAGCAGTTGTTGAAGTGCTGACCTACGGTTCCATGTCAATGCTGAAGTCGCATTTGCCACTTCTGAGACTGGCTATAAAAGGGGCAGGGCATTCATCCTTGGGCAGTTCTTTCAACATAAGGCCTCTCAAGACAAAGTCAACATTTGGACGGCTCGTTTTGCGAGAGGCTTGATCAGATGTTGCTCGTAGAGCACCTCAAGAGGAAGGCCGAAGGGGTGGGGTGTGCTGATGATGCTTGCCGTCGCCACTTGACACGGCGGTTCCAGTATTTTAGCCCTGGTCGGGTTTGCAAGCGGGATAGTCCTGCACGCAACGTGTATTTGAGAAGAAGGGAAGGTGCCTGCTTTGCTTTGCGAACAGGACTGTGCATTAGGGGCCCATGATGCACCGCAAATACGTGAGCCGCTCCATCATCATATCATCGTCATCATCGCCATCGCCATCCTCCTCCTCCTCCTCCTCATCATCATCATCATCACCAGCATCATTATCATCATCATGGTAGGCTTGCCGAAATTGCCACCGGTACACCGGAATTTCTCACCCAGCTCCCACTTTCGCAAGAATCAGCGTGAACCTTGAATGCGGCGCATGAAGGCAAAGACTTTGTGCTTGAGTTTGTGACAGGTCATGGTTGCGCACACCGCATTCACAGAAGCTACCGACCTCTTGCTGAAGTCGCACGCGTGGCTGGTGAAGGACACGGCTCAGTTGATTGAAGGTTGCATTTGGGAGGCAGCATTTTTGTGTGAACAGTACGGGACCACGCGCGTAGACTACAGTTGCCCTTACACTCATTACATCAAATGGGCATCCGGCAACTATTTCAACATGCCAAACATGCCAACCGTGCAGTGTTCCTTGTCAAACGTGGCCAACTGCGCAATGGCAATCAGGACTCGCTTTTGGCCGACAAGTTTGCCGAGTGCAGCTTGGGCGGCACAGTCAGAGTTGCCTTGATAGCTTGTTTGCTCCAAATGGCCGGAGACTCGGAGACGCATGGGGGTGGATCAATACTCTGGCCCCAAATGACCATGAAGAACTTTTCCAGTGGGAATTCTCGTCAATTCAGTGGTTTTCCCCAACGGTCATCCCATGTAAAAGACCTTTGGATCACCTCGATGCGGTGCGGCACTGCTTGCGCGCGCCTAAAGCGCTTTCTGGCGAAGGTATCTCGCGAGTGCCACCTAGCCAGCACGACCGCATCGACCTCTTGCAAGCTGCCGGGAACCTGTGGCTCTCTCTTGGGTCATTAACCCATCAGAATTGCAAAATGTCACATTGTGCAACCTCGCAATAGCTTTGTTCCATGTCTGTAGTGAATCACAGAATCTGGCATATATATATAGATATGCAGCAGTGAAGCATGTCACGGGCTTGCATCTTTTGGCTTGCTTGGAGTTGGCATGTCAAGAATAGATCTGCACCATGCAGCATGCAAAGCAACCACCGGAACAACCGACTCAAGTTCAAGCCTATCACAGCGGCGGCGCTTTCTACAGACTAAGATTACGGCCACGTCTGACCTCACAGAGCCTTCCATTTCTATCAGACAGGAGCAACCCATCACACAAGACGTGTTTCTCACCACACCTAAAACAACCAACCCGTCACATAAGACGAGTTTCTCACCAACTTTGTCTTTCTCGTTGAATGCTTCCGGCCTCGGCGGTCGCGCCGTATGGTGCGCTTGGTGAGCGCCTTGTCGGGGGAGCTTCTGGGTACCTGCAGTGCGGCGAGCGTGCAGGAGGTGAAGACTTGGGCGGCTGAGAAGCTGCGAATCCCGGCGCCTGGCACGCGGGAAAGGGGGCGGCATTTTTTTTTCCGGGGGGGGTTGGGGGTGGTGGTGTGTTAAAGAGGAACCAAATTTGGTAAACCGATGTTGACGGGCTCTTGTCAACACACATAATTGTAGGCCCCACTGGACTGGTTCAGACATTCATCATTTCAACATTTTGTAGTGCCCTTGATATGCCGTCCCCACCTAACTGGTGTGTAATCAGACGCCATCTTCCTTAATCCCAGTGAACGCCGACGTCCACTCCGAGGCTTGGGAGCAGCGCATATTGCTTGATGGGAGAGCTTTGGAGGATGCCGAGCTGTGTCCAGGCCAGAGATCGAATGGACCGCCGGCCGTTCCGGCGCCGGCGCCGGCGCCCGTCTCGGCAGGACCGGCTGAGCTGCAGCTGCTGCGGCTTGACTCCAGCTGGGCCTCCAGCCTGCGCCTGGCGCAGGACGCCGGAAAGGTCTGGTGGAGTTCCTTTGAGATGTACGGCTCTTTCCTTTGAGAGGTGTATATTTTTCAGAGTTGTTGGTATTCTGTTGAGAGTTTATTTTTTGTTTTTTGTATATATTCCAGATTGCGGCGCCCACCTCCCAAGAGATTTTTGGTTTCTTCCTTTTTTTCTTTGAAATGTGAGTTCCCTGCCCACCTCAAATCTCCAAGGAGTGCCGGCCTTTCGGTGCCAAGCCGTGTTTTCAGGAAGACGGGGAGCTGCTGGGGCGCCTGCCCGAGGCCTGCAGGGAGGACAGGCGCCTGCGGGTTGGGTTGTCTTCGGGTGGGCTCGGTAAGTGGGGTCAGGGGATGGGAAGCGTGTGAAGGGAAGGCGTTGAGTGTCTGATGTGTCAAGCTTCGGGTTCTGGTGCTGCAAATCGTCTTGGCAACTTGCAAACGCCTCTTTGAGATCTATTGCAGCGCTTCTTGTCGTGATGACAACATTAGCTTTCACACAGCAGGATGGGCCCGACCTAGGGCTTGCGAAGGTGGACAGTTGTGGAGTCACACATTTTGATTGGCTAGAGAAGGCACCCTTCTTGATTGCCAAGTCCACTTGATAATTTGCCATCCATTCTACCGTGCCCATTATGTAAGCCCACCACTCTAGGCAGTCTTCGATAGTAAGAACAACAATGATCTCCTTTCAAAGATGCGACCTCACCAGGGTCAGGCCGAGGGTTCTAGCTGTGAGCTCACTGAAAAGAGCTTCCGGACGCCAGGGACATTGTCATGGCCGCGGTCCAGTCGCGGGGGCAAGCCCTCAGGTGCGGTTCTCATCCGTCCCGTGACTCCTTGCCAACCGAATGCGTGGGGCGTCTTCAATTAGGATGAAGGTTTCCATTCGCAAAATTCGCTGTGGACTCCACAACCGCCGAGTGGCCAAGTGCTGTGGCCATCGGTCGACGGCAGTGATTCAAGCTTGCAAGGGCGGTCTGGGGGCCGCAGAACCTGGGTGCCTCTCAGTTCCGCAAGTTTCTATGGCCCAAGTGCATGGCTAAACTAGGCTTCGGGCCATTCATCTGCATTCGGGTTCCAGGCTTCTGTCAAATTTTTAGACAATCGGAGCCCCCAAAATGGCTTCGGCTTGAGAAAGGTGGCAGGAATCCGCCTTATTCCGATGACAATATCGAGAGCAAAGTTGCAAATCAGTGCTGACCATTGGACTGATGGCTCCTTTCCTGCTGAAGAGTTTGATTCTGTATCCCGGACGATGTCCCAGGTTTGCCTCAGAATCTCTGCAGAATGACCGGGAGGTGGTCTTTGCAGCTGTCTCTCAGGCAGGGCCATCTCAGTCATAATTCGGATGCTCACCCTGAGCTTGGTGCTTAGCTCGTTAAACAGATCGCAACATTGGCCAGCCGGGTGGAAGAAGATCGCCGCATTGGCAAAGGCCCGAATCTTTGGCACCACGGAGGTCCTCAGTTCTCAGGTTCTCCGTTCCTCGTGCACGTTTCGCGGCAATGAATCGAAGACGTAACCCCGGACAAGAAAAGGATGGCCACGCGCTGAAGTTTGCCGAGACCTTCCAGACAGACCGGAAGGCGCCACCGCGCTTTTTTCCGGCGCCGAATCGGCGGGGCTTGAGGACTTGAAGCTTTGCAAGCTCCCGCTTTTGGCGGCGGGTCCTTGCGCTTCGGTGTCAAGGTTTGATCGGGGGGATAGAAAACATGTAGCCTCCAGGGAAAGCGCAGGGAGTGGCTGGAGGTATATGCTTGCAGCCCGCACCATCTGATGACACAGGAAACTGTACGTGAAATGATGAACAAATAGTACTTGAAGAGTAGAATTGGCATTAAGTCAATTTCATAGATACACATTTGAATAACTAATTTTTACAAATAGATATATAATGTCCGAAAGTAAGTGTTTGGTCACTTAAACTTTACAGCCTCCGGCTCAGTCCGCCGACATTGTCCTCTCCCTTTTTTCCTTCTGCCTCTCTCCCTTGTCTCCCTTGTGTGTTCTGTCGTCCTCTCTCCCTCCCTCTGCTCCCCATCCTCCCCATCCCCCCAAGCCTCTCTATGCCCAATCTCCCTCTTTGGTATGTATGTATGCATATATATATATATATATATGTGTGTATGTCTGTCTGTCTGTCTGTCTGTCTGTCTGTCTGTCTGTCTGTCTGTCTGTCTGTCTGTCTGTCTGTCTGTCTGTCTGTCTGTCTGTCTGTCTGTCTGTCTGTCTGTCTGTCTGTCTGTCTGTCTGTCTGTCTGTCTGTCTGTCTGTCTGTCTGTCTGTCTGTCTGTCTGTCTGTCTGTCTGTCTGTCTGTCTGTCTGTCTGTCTGTCTGTCTGTCTGTCTGTCTGTCTGTCTGTCTGTCTGTCTGTCTGTCTGTCTGTCTGTCTGTCTGTCTGTCTGTCTGTCTGTCTGTCTGTCTGTCTGTCTGTCTGTCTGTCTGTCTGTCTGTCTGTCTCTGTCTGTCTGTCTGTCTGTCTGTCTGTCTGTCTGTCTGTCTGTCTGTCTGTCTGTCTGTCTGTCTGTCTGTCTGTCTGTCTGTCTGTCTGTCTGTCTGTCTGTCTGTATGTATGTATGTATGTATGTATGTATGTATGTATGTATGTATGTATGTATGTATGTATGTATGTATGTATGTATGTATGTATGTATGTCTGCAATGTCTGTCTGTCTGTCTGTCTGTCTGTCCGTCTGTCTGTATGTATGTGTATATGTATGTATGTATGTATGTATGTATGTATGTATGTATGTATGTATGTATGTATGTATGTATGTATGTATGTATGTATGTATGTATGTATGTAATGTGTATGTGTTGTATGTATGTATGTATGTATGTATGTATGTATGTATGTATGTATGTATGTATGTATGTATGTATGTATGTATGTATGTATGTATGTATGTATGTATGTATGTATGTATGTATGTATGTATGTATGTATGTATGTATGTATGTATGTATGTATGTATGTATGTATGTATGTATGTATGTATGTATGTATGTATGTATGTATGTATGTATGTATGTATGTATGTATGTATGTATGTATGTATGTATGTATGTATGTATGTATGTATGTATGTATGTATGTATGTATGTATGTATGTATGTATGTATGTATGTATGTATGTATGTATGTATGTATGTATGTATGTATGTATGTATGTATGTATGTATGTATGTATGTATGTATGTATGTAATGTATGTATGTATGTGTATGTATGTATGTATGTATGTATGTATGTATGTATGTATGTATGTATGTAATGTATGTATGTATGTATGTATGTAATGTATGTATGTATGTATGTATGTATGTATGTATGTATGTAATGTAATGTAATGTAATGTAATGTATGTATATGTATGTAATGTAATGTATGTATGTATGTATGTATGTATGTAATGTATGTATGTATGTATGTATGTATGTATGTATGTATGTATGTATGTATGTATGTATGTATGTAATGTATGTAAGGAATGTAATGAATGTAATGTATGAAATGAATGCAATGGATGAATGTATGAAAGACGTCCAAAAACATGGAGTTTGTCCAGATTTTTGGCAAAAGGATGTAGGAAGCCCAAGCCAGCAAAAAAGCCGGCAGGGGGAATCGAGCCTGGGACCCCTGTTTTGCGACACCGGCTCCCCGAAGACTACGTTTAGTGGAACGTCATCAAATTGCCGCGCGGTACGCGGGGGAGGGGGGGGGGGTGGCGACCGAAAAACCATGCGTATTTGACGTGTCCCGGGGGGGGACTAAGGGGGGGGTTATCCTCTATCCTCTCTTAGGTATCCAATAGTCCTCTCTTAGGTATCCGACACGCCGAGCAATGTCGGCGGACTTTGAGCTTCTGTCTATGTGATCGATTGTTCTTTGTTCCATTCGACGATGAAACACAACCTACCCCCCCACAAAACGGATGACAGTGACAGCTATCTGGGCCGCAAGCTGAAGACACTTGTTGAGCTTGGCTC